AAATAACTTTTCATCTACTTGTCAGACACAGACGTGTGTTAGGAGGGGCACTGACGTCTATAATATTATAGACGTCGGTGCCCCTCCTAACAGACGTCTATGTTCCAATTTATTTACGAACATGTCACCGGTCAATAATTTACATTGATTATGTTTAGGTCCAACGTCTACTGGGTGACGTTAAAAGCCAATTCTGCACTAAAACCGACATACAAACAATAAAAAGATTAAAAATAATAAATCTATTAAAAAGAAACTATTGTAAACTTTGATCAAAGTAAAGTAAGATATTTCTGTTGTGATTTAATTATTAGTTTATTTGGCATTTATATTTAAAATTATTTATTTTATAAATACTGAAATTGTACTTGTACGTGTCACAGCTTCACTGTATCTGTTACAATGATGAATAGAAATGAAAAGGAAGAAAACCTTAATGATACTTTGACACATGTCATCTTTTTTATATTTATTTGATATTATTTTTTTTTAAATTAAAAATTTTATTTTTTATGATTATTCTATATTTTTTTACATTTATTTGATATTATTTTTTTTATCTTTTTTTAAAAATCAAAAAAGTTTATTTTTTTATAACTATTTGGTGTTAAATGAATGTAATTGTATATCATCTCAGTGTTACTCTATAAAATATGATGATACAAAAATCCTCCGGAGGTGGTTTTGTTTGAGAATTACCTTTAACCAACATCATGGTTTTGAATAAAAAAAGTGGAAAATGACAAATAACCATATTGTAATGCCAAATTAATTCGAACGTTGGTTTTCCCTAAACTTAGTATATATGTAGTTCCTTAAAAACCGTGCACAGTTTAATTTGGTGGCGGGAAATATTACTTAAGGAAAACCTAATAAGGCTCCTTGTGTTTATTTAACATTTGGGGGATATAGTAAATTTGGTGGTAAGTAGATGTGATGAAATGGAATGCACGTGGAAGAGACAACGTTTAGGAAGACAATAAATAATATAATGTTTTTTTAAGCCATGATTTTATGATATATAAATCGCATAAATGGTGGCACAGTATTGTTATACATCCAAAGAAAAAGAAAAGTGGGTGAAGGAAGAAGAAAATGGAGTCTGAAGCTCCTATTCACGTTCTCATGGTGTCCTACCCAGGACAAGGGCACGTAAACCCTCTCCTTAGACTTGCCAAGTTTCTTGCTGCTAAGGGTTTCTTTGTAACTTTCTCCACCGCCGACACGGTTGGCAAACTCATGCGAACGGCCAACGACATCTCTCACAAACAAGTCACTCCAGTTGGTGACGGTTTTCTCAAGTTCGACTTCTTTGACGATGGCGGCGTAACAAATAGTGATGGTTCCAAGAGAACTCTCTCTGACTTCAATGCTCAGGTTGAGCATTTTGGGAGGCAATATGTTTCCCAAGTGATCAAGGACCATGCCGATACACACCGCCCGATTTCATGCATCATAAACAACCCCTTTGTTCCATGGGTTTCTGATGTAGCTGCCGACCATGGTATTCCTTCTGCCGTCTTATGGGTTCAATCTGCTGCTGTCTTAACAGCTTACTATAGTTATTTCCACAAACTGCTACCTTTTCCTTCTCATGCCGATCCCTATCTTGATGTTCAATTGCCTTCTGTAGTCCTTAAGTACAATGAAGTTCCGGACTTTCTGCATCCTTTTAGTCCATATCAAGTTCTAGGGACGGTCTTACTGGAACAGTTTAAGAACTTATCCAAGCCATTCTGTGTGCTGGTGGATAGTTTCGAGGAACTAGAAAGTGATTACATAAACTATCTTTCAGAGTTTGTGAATATAAGACCCATTGGTCCTTTGTTCAAGATCCCAACAGCAACAGACACAGGTGATATCCGTGGTGATTTTTGGAAGAGTGATGATTGCATGGAGTGGTTGAACTCAAGGGCAGAGGCATCTGTGGTGTACATCTCCTTCGGGAGTATCGTGTGTCTGCCGCAAGAACAAGTGACGGAAATTGCACATGGATTATTGGACTCTCAGGTCTCGTTTTTGTGGGTTCTGAAACCACCTGTTCAGGAGTTTGGGCTTCCGCCCTACGTTCTTCCCGATGGGTTCTTGGAGGATACGAGAGAGAAGGGGAAAGTCGTGCAGTGGAGCCCACAGGAGGAAGTGTTGGGTCATGGTTCGGTGGCATGTTTTGTGACACACTGTGGTTGGAATTCTTCGATGGAAGGTGTGGCATTGGGAGTGCCGATGTTGACATTTCCAGCATGGGGTGATCAGGTGACAAATTCAAAGTTCTTGGTGGATGTTTATGGGGTGGCCATTAAACTGGGTTATGGGCAGGCTGTAAAGAAACTGGTGAGCAGAGACGAGGTGAAGAAGCGCTTATTGGAAGCAACCGTAGGGCCAAAAGCAGAGGAGTTGAAGCAAAAGGCGTTCAAGTGGAAGATGGCTGCAGAGGCCGCAGTGGCTCCGAATGGCTCCTCTGCCAGGAATCTTGATGCGTTTCTCAAAGACATAAAAGAACGTGGAGCTGTTAGGGTGAACGAGATATAAGTCTATTTCACATACTTCCATAGTTTGTATCTTTGTTGCATGGGATAAGATAAATTAAATGAAACTGGCATTGTCAAACAGTATTACAAGCAAAATAAATTGGGAGAGTCACACGAATACAATTCTGATATATATAGTCCCCTCTTATCACATTATGAATTCTATAAATCTATGATTTTCTCTTTGTAAATGTGTGTCAAGCGTGTGATGAATAATGAATATTTTGAATGTAAATAATTCATCTTTGGATCAATTATTTGGGTAGGCAAATATCTACTCCCAATTCCTCTTTTAGGCAGATAAACTACCTGTAGTCGTGTAACTTTGGACGATTGAACTGTCGGTGAGTGGTTGTTAGTTTTTGGAACGCGTCATTTCGGAGATGAACGTTGAATATTAATACTTTAGTTAATTTCCAACCACTTGAAGACAAAATAGGCTTAACCATCAAAGGGCAACAGATGAACTATAGAGGCTATTGAAGTCTGAATAATGATCCTTGGACACTCTCAAAAGTGCTATTATATGGTGGCCCTTCAACTAATTATTTTGTTTTTCCAACTCAATTATTTTTAAACAAAAGTTTATTTTCTAAATTATCACATTAGCCTTAAAAATAAATTATTCAAATAGTTTTTTACATGTCAAAACATCATCTTTCTTTCCTGTGTGGGAGTTTCTTTTCGACGACTTTGACTTAAGACATAAATAAAAATGGCTATACAAAAATATAAAAATGATGATGTAACAATATTTTTTTTATGTAGAACCAGTTGAGAACCCTTANTACTTTAGTTAATTTCCAACCACTTGAAGACAAAATAGGCTTAACCATCAAAGGGCAACAGATGAACTATAGAGGCTATTGAAGTCTGAATAATGATCCTTGGACACTCTCAAAAGTGCTATTATATGGTGGCCCTTCAACTAATTATTTTGTTTTTCCAACTCAATTATTTTTAAACAAAAGTTTATTTTCTAAATTAACACATTAGCCTTAAAAATAAATTATTCAAATAGTTTTTTACATGTCAAAACATCATCTTTCTTCCCTGTGTGGGAGTTTCTTTTCGACGACTTTGACTTAAGACATAAATAAAAATGGCTATACAAAAATATAAAAATGATGATGTAACAATATTTTTTTTATGTAGAACCAGTTGAGAACCCTTAACCTTTTCATAAAATATAATGGTAATAGCATTTGAATTAACTAATAATAATATTTTGACTAATAATTAAGTGATGCTCAGATGATAGTATAGCTAATATTGATTATCAATATATTACTGCTCTATGAAGATGGTAGGACCATGACAATATATAATAAATTAAACATGATTGAGCGGTTTCATGATTTTTTTTTTCAGTTACTAAGGTTATTTGTGTCATAATTTAGCATGTAAATTTTGTTAACCTCGATTGTCCACTACACTAATAATTAACTATTGGTTTTATGCTTATATTTTTTCTTTATTATTTTAAGTATACTCTTAATAAATGTATTTAGTTACAAATTTAATTAAACCCTAAAACTATTAAGATGAATGCAAAATTTTATAAATTTTAGTTAGTGTAGTACTTTTTGTTCAAAATAATTTCAATAAAATTAAGTTAACATATTATTGACTTATTACATACTATTCCATATATAATTAACTTAATAAGTTTACATGATTCTAACTTTATTTAAATTCTTAAAATGTTAAAAATATTGTTGAAGAATTTGGTAATTTAATTAATGAATTAATTAATTTTAATTTTATATTTTTTAAGTGAAAACCTATCAAAATTAAGTTTTCCAAAACTAAATTTCAATATATTTTTTAATACAGAGAGAGAAAAATGACAACACAATTTGAAACTCCATAAAATGAATTATGTGCTCAATAAAAATAAATTGTGTTATCTTAGTAACTTTGCTGATACAGTGTAAAAGTTATTTGCAAACGGTGGCAACGGGGAGAAAACCTCCTAATCATTATAATATACTTTATAAAAACTGGTCTCAACTTTTTTCACTGAACGTTTTCAATCTTTATATATTGAAAAATATTTTTTTAAAAACGTTTTTTGACAACTTTTTTTTACAAGCTGTGATAACTTTAGTTCATTTCAAATATACATACCAATTACACACTCTATTGTGAAAAAATTGTTAAAAAAAAAAAGTTGTTAACTTGTCATAGTATTTATATATAGTACTTATATATTTGCTATTATGAACGTCGTTCGCTTTATCAACGGGCGGAAGGCAGACCTAAATGGCAAAGGGTGTTTCTTCCTACACCCCATCAAATTTCATCTCGTATCCCATCACAGGTTTCTGGAAATTTTAATCTGGGTGAGATAGTGTCTTCCGTATTTCCGGAATTAGTTTAGTGTGTTTCGGAGGGAAAGCAAAATCCAGTTTGATAGGGTGTTGGAAGAAATCTGATGGGGGTGCAGGAAACATCCAATGGCAAATTGTGACCACGCAATGCCAATTTTCATGGATCTGTAAATTCTTTACACAGAGAATACAGGTGGGGTGGAGTGGAGTGGACTCCACCCACACAATATTAACATTTTGACTATACAGAAAGTCTAATACTTTATGAACCCACAGACTATTGTATTACATCCATCGTGCCGGAAGGAAGCAAACTTTACATGCTAGTAAATTTTCCGGTTGACTTGAAAAAACTAATCATAGGGTCATAAAGATCTTGTTTTGCTTGCAAGCTTAAAATGAAGTCAACATGACCGTAGTTTTCAAGATAAATCACCTCCGGTGTGGATCGCAATTCCTTGAGTGTGTGCTGGAAATCAGCTATATCTGCTAAAGCATCGTTTCCACCGTAAGCCATCCACAGAGGCAATGATTTGGGTATACGGCTAAGTTCGAACTTTGGTGGTTTGAACTTGCCGTACTCTATCATGTTTTTTAGCTGTCCATAATCATATTTGGAAAAGGTTCCCTTGCGGATCACTGGTGAACAAACGAGGTCATCAGAGACAATCATTAAGAAGAATAATGGCACATAAAATGAATATTGATTTCTAGACCAACAAAAAAATGTATTAAAAAGCCAGGGTGAAAGTAGGTAAACAATTGAAACGTCAATACAGAAATTTCTAACTAGAAGTTCAAACGACATGTTCTTGGAATATCATCAGATATTTAATAACATCACCTAAGCCTTTTTCCCACTTAGCAGGACCGGTTACACGGGCCATGAGATACCCTAATAATTAAACATGTGATAAAAGAATTTCAGTGCACTCATCTGCTGGTTCACCAGCAGTTAAGAAGGAAGAGATGGCAGTGGCTAGTCAGTGAGAATTTTTGTACAGGTATGGTCTTTGGCAAGATTAAGAATGTCAACAACATCATAAGCGTGTATCCCATGCTCGTAACGGAATATAGATAACCAAAAGAAGAAAATATAGCAGAACTTGCATAGCTAATCTACTAGTAAGTTTGTAAATAACAAGCACTACTTTGACGCATATTGCCCAGTATTACGAAGGTGATCAATACTATTCACCAAGAGGTAAACAATACTATCAAACAAAAAAATAAACCAACAAAAATTATGATTGACTTTTAGACTAATTATCAAATTCATTTCCCTGGCTAATGTACACAACAAAACCTTGTTTCCACAGTTCAGACTTATTTTCCAATATTTCGTATTCCATCCCTATAAAGGCCAGTTTAGCTATTTGGCATCATGCAAATGCTATGATTATTATTAGACAGGATCAGAGGGTAGTCTCTGATGATAAGAAATACTTGTATACATAAGTAAGAACAACAACATTAACACATACTTGGGAATTGGGACAGAAAGAAAGTGTCATTAAAGGCTCAAATGAAGATAATGAAGCATACTCTGGAAAAGGTGGTTCAAGTTTTTGGTGGATGATGGATGAGGTTCTTGTTCAAGATAAAACTCCACACGTGACTCGTTGAAGCAACAATTCTTCCCTGTCATTTCATCAAAGTGTCTTGAGTAGAAGTATTTGTCAAAAAAGAAAGGAAAAAAACACAGCAAAACTATTCAAACTTGTTGAATGACCCAAAAGAGCAACTTCTCACTAAATTGGTCAAAATGAGTTAACGAAATAGTTAATATGTTAGCAGACTACATCTATTAGCTCAAATAGAGAGAGAATATGCTTTCACAAGGCCATCAATGTAACCAGATCTGAACAGTTTAATCACCATATCGATTTTCAGGTAAATTCAGAGAACCAAGAGCAGTGGCACGAATTATTTTTAAGCGAAGATAGTTTTCAAGCTGATACAACAATAGAATAAAGACACTTAATTGGGTCATTTTACTCTGATATCTTATCCTTGAAAACTTTCCCTATCCTGATTATATGATTTTGGTGCATCTCAATAACAGATAATGGCATAACACATAAGGATTCCCACACAAAATCCAAACGCAATACACTGAGATACAAAATTCAAATTCATACATGACAATAATTTAATAATTCCAACTTTCAATTACCATACTGATAATTTTGTGATTAGTAAAAATAAAAAATTAGATAGTTGTAAACTTTCACACTCTGACTCTCCGGCAAAGCATGTCTCTTGCTACACAATATTGACAAAACAAGATAAATATAATAATTTAGAGCATTATGAAACAGAAAAGCAAATGAGAAATTGATAGAAACAAACTTCATTCTACAAATGGCATGAAAATAGGAGAAAAAATTGTCTTAGAAGAGTTTTCCTTCGACACAGAGTTTCCTCTTCCACACAATCTTCGTAATATGCTTTGGATGAATCCTTCCATCCTCATTCCCACTATTTTACAAACAGATATCTTCTGAAAAACTCTCCCCGACTATTCGTCGCATCCCTTCTGTCCTAACAGAGAGGGCTCACCCCCTTCATGCTCTAGACTAGAGGATACAGATTTCTCATAACATCCAACTCAATGATCCATCAATTTAAACTGAGTAGGCAGACAGAGTTTACGAATTCAGAAATTTGCAAATCTTTTATTTGGACCAAGTTGAACTCCCTCGCAAACTCAGAAGTGTTTCAAACTATAAGTTCCTGACACTTGGACATAGGAAGTATCATGGTTGCTGTGACAAATCAACTTATTTTAACTAAGTGCTGACACTTTAATGAGGTATGGGCGGAAAAAAGATTGAGAAATCCTTTCAAGATGCATAAAGAAAGCAATTGTCTTTGTCTTTCTATGTCATATACACTCGTCTATTTATGAATCAGAGAGACAAGATGACTCAGCTCCACTAATGGATAACTAGACAAACGTATGACAGATCTAACAGAAAACAAAGAAATCAATCCGTTTTACTTTTAGTCCTCCCACCGACAATGGTAACAGAGAACTCCACGATATAGAGAATATTATTTGGATAGAACAGACGGTTTAGCTCTATCAAAGACACAATAGAGTGGAGTTGTCATAATTGAATAAGGCAATAATATTCTCAACAAACAGCTAAATTCAGCATAAAAGTTCACAGCCTTGCTCGTGAACTCTGAATCAAATACTTCTCTGAAATTAAGAATCATAGACTGAGCCAGTGTGAAAGACATGAACCTGTTATGGATGAGAGCATGTTATTGCAACTTAGGCGGGTATCGCATAAGGAAACCAAGAGATTGGCCCCCCATTCGCTGAAAAAGAAATGGGAAAAACAATAAATTGAACATTTGCTAAACTAAAATTTATGAACACAAGAAAAAGAAAAGGAGAAAAATGTAAAACCTTTTGAAGTTTAGTTGATGAATACCCATGGAAAGAATCATCTGAGAAAAAGCAGTAATCATATCAAGGACCATTTCTACAGTGAAACTTAATAGAACAAAGCAAGAAATACCTTATCAACGTGCATTTTAACCATTCTAAGTACAAGAGGTGCACTGATATGATCCAAGTATGATATTGGAGATAGAAGAGCTGCTGCCTCAACCTTTTCTACTATCTCCGGTTGAGTGAAGGCAGCAAAAGATATAATTGTCCCCTATGAAGCATAGGAAACATAAAAAACGTATGCTATATAACAACCCCTAAATAACAGGTGAAAAGGGCAATGTCAACAATAATAAGTACCTGCGAATGCCCAACTACAAATATCTTTGAGTTTGTTACTGAATTGATGTAATTGATCATTTCTGCAACATCATACAGGGCTAATTCCTGCCAGCTCCAATCCCAGAATTTCTACAAAGGAATCAACCCAAGTTGAATTGGTCACACATCACAGACAAGGTGAAATGTATTACAAACTTAACTAAATATTTCAGTACCGAACTTCCAATTCTAAATTTTCTGTTTTATCAAATACATCCTTTGTCACTCTATATAGAAAAGAAGAGTGCCCTCCTTTCATCTTAATGTTTCTCCAATGGTTTACATTTAAAAAAAACGTCGGCTCCATTTGATGAAAATAATAAAACAAAAAAATTATCACAAACAAATAACTGACACTCAATGAATTTTATAACACGAAGGATGAGATAAACTATGCACCTTATTCTTCTCCGACAAAGATATATGCCCATGGCTCCAACGTGTCCCACGCACATTTCCTACCCAAACATCAAAACCATGATCTGCAAGTATGAAGCCAAGTGATTGGTCGGGAGTGTTTAGAAACCATGCGTCACCAGCCTGATCGCATCGACAAATCACTGCTTAGATTCAATCAAACATTTTCAAACTAAAAAATGAGTTCCTCACCATCAAGTGTTAGAGAACCCTCCTCTTAAAAAAGTCAAAGGTTAAAACGTGATACAAATGTCTCGACCTGAATATATCCTAAGTAGTCCTCAAGGTAATAATGATATAAGTTAGCTCTCAAGCATTGAACATCAATCGTTTCAGTTCCTAAACTGATATATTTTACTAACTTTAGATACTTGGGAGCCTACTTAGAATGATTTGCAGGAGTCAATGAACTACTTGCATAATTCTTTTTTACCATAAAAGAACCCCGTAGGAGAGTGGGTAATAATCTAAGATTAAATTGAGCGTTTAGTCATTTCAAATTTGGTTGTAAAGAAGAAATGTTTACAACTATCCCACGCACAGCCCAAGAACTGTGCAAATATAGAACTGAACTGCAGTTACATAACCATTTGGAAACTTCCTAAAATCAAATCAACCACCGAGCCTTGTGGATCTTCAGCGGTAAAAGAGAAAAAAAACAGTGGAGACTTATAACAGACCGTGAAATCCTTGAGTCAAAAGCCAATCGAATCAATATGAGAAACAGAATGGAGAAATTAAAAACCAAAAAATGAAATTGGATGTGATCGACAGAAGCAAGCAAGCAAGCATCATATTGCAGTTGAGTCAACGCATTTTTTTGCGTGGAAAGCGAAGAGTAAAATTAGAAAGTGACCATGAATAAGCCATGCAGAAGCAGAACCGGAGGACCTCGTTCTCCACGGTTCCCAAGACGAAGAGAAGAAGAAGATACGCGCTGAAGACCTAACAAGAAGCCGTCCTTCGTTTGAGTCTAAGAGTAACAAAACAAGCAAAGGAGTTGGTCATTCAATTTTCAGATTAAATGAAAAGAGAAAAAGGAATATGCTATTACGATGGAAAGTCAGAAGAAGTTTATTCAGAAGAGAAAGATTGTAGGTACCGTATATTCGGAACAGGGGTAACCGGAGGGGATAATGAGCTCTTGGCACAGCGTGGGTTGCTGTTTTTGGTGGCTACCACCGCCGTCGAAGCTGAGAACGGGCTTTCCATTTCCGAAGAGTATGGAGAGTGTTATGGCGAGAGTGAGGAAGAACCTCTGAATCCCCATCATCCCCCAAATGCATCCACCTGTGATCCTCTGCTCTGCTGCAACTCTCACTCATATATTGCTTCTGGGTTCGACCATTCACAATCTACCACGCGCCCCTCCCAGCGCGTTTTTCTCAGAACTTGCAGGTAAACTGTAAGAAACATCGCAGCTCTCAATTCAGAATCATAACTGTTTATCAGTCTGTCTCACTGATACGTGCCACAGGGTTAACGTATCATTCGCTCTATATCTTCATTTCTTATTTTTTACAGTTAAAATATTGTTTTTTATATTTAAAATATATTCAGTTTAATTTCTTTATTTTGAAAACATTATGTTTTAGCCTGTACAGTTTAAATTGGTAAAACTAAAATAATTACCTATATATCTAAAATAAATTTTCATTAAATGATGTAAACATCATACAATATTAATTTTTTTTAATATTAAGAACTTTGGTATACTTCAGAACATATAACTGTACAGATAAGAAATTAGGTGTTGGGAGTTTCCGTTGGTTGCAATTGTGGAAGCATATTGATTAGGGAAGTTTCATGGAATGGAAAAATGTACTAAGAAAGAAAGGTTTTGGGCAGCCAACAAAATTACCATTTACCATAATCCACGCGCACTTGAAAGCAGTGAAGAAGGATTAAAAATGTTATCCAATTATCTTATCCATATTTGTCTTCATTTGTTAATATTATAATAAATTATTAAGCGTCAATAAGTGAAGTCTGTGAAGTGTATACAAAGGACTCTCTTTTATTGGTCCATGTGTTTTACTTGTGGACCCGCTTCAGAAAAAATTTAGGTCCTATTTTTATTTCTTTTAGAATAATAAATAAAAAAAAAATCTTCTTCCTTCTTTTTCTCAGTCTCATTTTTTTGGGTGAGCATAAAAATGTCCTGGGAGGGAAAGAGAATTCTTTTTCATGGAATTGTGCAAAGTTGATGTTAAATATTTAATAATATTTATATAACTTTTTGAGAATATATTTATTGTAAATGTTAATTGTTTATTATATTAAATTATGGTATAAAATTAATGTGATATTTTTACTATATTAATATTTTTTTAACTTAAATAAATTCACCTTTTCCATAAAAAAAGTTGTGAAGATATGAAATCTTTTTAGAAAACATTATTAAATTTTCACCATTCCCGTATAAGAAACAATAGTTTTAATTTTTTTTATTGTTTTCAATCATTTTTCTTTTTAAACATATTATTACATAAGTGATGTAAAACTTTATATTATGTATTAGGTTGACACATCATATTGATATTAACATTATTAATAAAAATGCAATTTATAAATGTTTTCTTTCTTCAACTTATCTGAGTTGTCTNGCAACGGGGAGAAAACCTCCTAATCATTATAATATACTTTATAAAAACTGGTCTCAACTTTTTTCACTGAACGTTTTCAATCTTTATATATTGAAAAATATTTTTTTAAAAACGTTTTTTGACAACTTTTTTTTACAAGCTGTGATAACTTTAGTTCATTTCAAATATACATACCAATTACACACTCTATTGTGAAAAAATTGTTAAAAAAAAAAAGTTGTTAACTTGTCATAGTATTTATATATAGTACTTATATATTTGCTATTATGAACGTCGTTCGCTTTATCAACGGGCGGAAGGCAGACCTAAATGGCAAAGGGTGTTTCTTCCTACACCCCATCAAATTTCATCTCGTATCCCATCACAGGTTTCTGGAAATTTTAATCTGGGTGAGATAGTGTCTTCCGTATTTCCGGAATTAGTTTAGTGTGTTTCGGAGGGAAAGCAAAATCCAGTTTGATAGGGTGTTGGAAGAAATCTGATGGGGGTGCAGGAAACATCCAATGGCAAATTGTGACCACGCAATGCCAATTTTCATGGATCTGTAAATTCTTTACACAGAGAATACAGGTGGGGTGGAGTGGAGTGGACTCCACCCACACAATATTAACATTTTGACTATACAGAAAGTCTAATACTTTATGAACCCACAGACTATTGTATTACATCCATCGTGCCGGAAGGAAGCAAACTTTACATGCTAGTAAATTTTCCGGTTGACTTGAAAAAACTAATCATAGGGTCATAAAGATCTTGTTTTGCTTGCAAGCTTAAAATGAAGTCAACATGACCGTAGTTTTCAAGATAAATCACCTCCGGTGTGGATCGCAATTCCTTGAGTGTGTGCTGGAAATCAGCTATATCTGCTAAAGCATCGTTTCCACCGTAAGCCATCCACAGAGGCAATGATTTGGGTATACGGCTAAGATCGAACTTTGGTGGTTTGAACTTGCCGTACTCTATCATGTTTTTTAGCTGTCCATAATCATATTTGGAAAAGGTTCCCTTGCGGATCACTGGTGAACAAACGAGGTCATCAGAGACAATCATTAAGAAGAATAATGGCACATAAAATGAATATTGATTTCTAGACCAACAAAAAAATGTATTAAAAAGCCAGGGTGAAAGTAGGTAAACAATTGAAACGTCAATACAGAAATTTCTAACTAGAAGTTCAAACGACATGTTCTTGGAATATCATCAGATATTTAATAACATCACCTAAGCCTTTTTCCCACTTAGCAGGACCGGTTACACGGGCCATGAGATACCCTAATAATTAAACATGTGATAAAAGAATTTCAGTGCACTCATCTGCTGGTTCACCAGCAGTTAAGAAGGAAGAGATGGCAGTGGCTAGTCAGTGAGAATTTTTGTACAGGTATGGTCTTTGGCAAGATTAAGAATGTCAACAACATCATAAGCGTGTATCCCATGCTCGTAACGGAATATAGATAACCAAAAGAAGAAAATATAGCAGAACTTGCATAGCTAATCTACTAGTAAGTTTGTAAATAACAAGCACTACTTTGACGCATATTGCCCAGTATTACGAAGGTGATCAATACTATTCACCAAGAGGTAAACAATACTATCAAACAAAAAAATAAACCAACAAAAATTATGATTGACTTTTAGACTAATTATCAAATTCATTTCCCTGGCTAATGTACACAACAAAACCTTGTTTCCACAGTTCAGACTTATTTTCCAATATTTCGTATTCCATCCCTATAAAGGCCAGTTTAGCTATTTGGCATCATGCAAATGCTATGATTATTATTAGACAGGATCAGAGGGTAGTCTCTGATGATAAGAAATACTTGTATACATAAGTAAGAACAACAACATTAACACATACTTGGGAATTGGGACAGAAAGAAAGTGTCATTAAAGGCTCAAATGAAGATAATGAAGCATACTCTGGAAAAGGTGGTTCAAGTTTTTGGTGGATGATGGATGAGGTTCTTGTTCAAGATAAAACTCCACACGTGACTCGTTGAAGCAACAATTCTTCCCTGTCATTTCATCAAAGTGTCTTGAGTAGAAGTATTTGTCAAAAAAGAAAGGAAAAAAACACAGCAAAACTATTCAAACTTGTTGAATGACCCAAAAGAGCAACTTCTCACTAAATTGGTCAAAATGAGTTAACGAAATAGTTAATATGTTAGCAGACTACATCTATTAGCTCAAATAGAGAGAGAATATGCTTTCACAAGGCCATCAATGTAACCAGATCTGAACAGTTTAATCACCATATCGATTTTCAGGTAAATTCAGAGAACCAAGAGCAGTGGCACGAATTATTTTTAAGCGAAGATAGTTTTCAAGCTGATACAACAATAGAATAAAGACACTTAATTGGGTCATTTTACTCTGATATCTTATCCTTGAAAACTTTCCCTATCCTGATTATATGATTTTGGTGCATCTCAATAACAGATAATGGCATAACACATAAGGATTCCCACACAAAATCCAAACGCAATACACTGAGATACAAAATTCAAATTCATACATGACAATAATTTAATAATTCCAACTTTCAATTACCATACTGATAATTTTGTGATTAGTAAAAATAAAAAATTAGATAGTTGTAAACTTTCACACTCTGACTCTCCGGCAAAGCATGTCTCTTGCTACACAATATTGACAAAACAAGATAAATATAATAATTTAGAGCATTATGAAACAGAAAAGCAAATGAGAAATTGATAGAAACAAACTTCATTCTACAAATGGCATGAAAATAGGAGAAAAAATTGTCTTAGAAGAGTTTTCCTTCGACACAGAGTTTCCTCTTCCACACAATCTTCGTAATATGCTTTGGATGAATCCTTCCATCCTCATTCCCACTATTTTACAAACAGATATCTTCTGAAAAACTCTCCCCGACTATTCGTCGCATCCCTTCTGTCCTAACAGAGAGGGCTCACCCCCTTCATGCTCTAGACTAGAGGATACAGATTTCTCATAACATCCAACTCAATGATCCATCAATTTAAACTGAGTAGGCAGACAGAGTTTACGAATTCAGAAATTTGCAAATCTTTTATTTGGACCAAGTTGAACTCCCTCGCAAACTCAGAAGTGTTTCAAACTATAAGTTCCTGACACTTGGACATAGGAAGTATCATGGTTGCTGTGACAAATCAACTTATTTTAACTAAGTGCTGACACTTTAATGAGGTATGGGCGGAAAAAAGATTGAGAAATCCTTTCAAGATGCATAAAGAAAGCAATTGTCTTTGTCTTTCTATGTCATATACACTCGTCTATTTATGAATCAGAGAGACAAGATGACTCAGCTCCACTAATGGATAACTAGACAAACGTATGACAGATCTAACAGAAAACAAAGAAATCAATCCGTTTTACTTTTAGTCCTCCCACCGACAATGGTAACAGAGAACTCCACGATATAGAGAATATTATTTGGATAGAACAGACGGTTTAGCTCTATCAAAGACACAATAGAGTGGAGTTGTCATAATTGAATAAGGCAATAATATTCTCAACAAACAGCTAAATTCAGCATAAAAGTTCACAGCCTTGCTCGTGAACTCTGAATCAAATACTTCTCTGAAATTAAGAATCATAGACTGAGCCAGTGTGAAAGACATGAACCTGTTATGGATGAGAGCATGTTATTGCAACTTAGGCGGGTATCGCATAAGGAAACCAAGAGATTGGCCCCCCATTCG